TGAGACTTTTGAGTTGCCTAACTGATGTTTCATGGCTATTTCATACAGGAATCTCAGCCAAGATCTGGTTTGCTGCAGTCTTCTGTGATTACCATCTACACGATGTATTTGACTTGGTCAGCTATGACCAATGAACCAGGTAACTGTAGCAGCAGTGTATGGCTTTTTAGGTGAAAGGTTCAGCTATAAATTCTATCTTCACCTATTTGCAAAGCAGCACTGGAATGAGGTACTGTGATGTGTGCAGCCACAAGTTTTTCCCACGGCTCTGATTTCCTACAATAACACTAAAGAAATTGTTCTTTGAAAGATATCTCCATGCCAGGTTTGAAGTTTCTTGGTTGGTACTGAAATGTTATTGATGATGTTTTTCCTAATGGAGGAATCATTTCAATGTAGTAATGTTGTAACACTTCTTGCCTGAAAGCAACCAGATGTCTTTAAAAACAAAAACAAAAACAACAAAAAAAACCCATCAATTTCATTGATGAAAATAAACTGCCAAATGTTGATTTCAGTGCTTTAAATTGTCTTTGACATGGAAGTAGCCTTTAATCTTAATTGTAGGCAATCTTCTGTGCTCCTGTGTAAAGGCAGAGATCTGAGTAAATGTAACTACTAAAGTAATTATGGAAAAGTAGTCTGCTTTCTGCTGTTACATCTGTGTGTTGTGTGTGGATGCTGAAGTTGGGAACTGTTGGTATAAGAAACTAATTTTATAGCATTCTTTTTAACTGAGATGACTGATACCTATCTGTATACAGTATGGTTGGCATACTTGGTTTCTAGCAGTAAAATTTATTTGATTTAATAGGCAGGAAACTTTTACTTGGTTGCTTCTGGTTGTATGAGATGGCAAAAGTAAAGCACTTGATAGGTATCTCAGGGCAGGTAAAGGATTTGAAATCCTTTATAAGTTATATAAGATTTTGTACTGTCACTGGCCTGTTATAGAGACTCTGTAGGCTAAAATTCAAGTTTTTATGCTTCAAAACTTTAATGGTCACAATGTTTTTTGCTCTTACTCAATGTTCTGCATGGAAATGCACTTTTAAGTACTTGTTCAGCTTTTATGTAAGTTTTAATGTAATTTCCCTCACAGATAGGCGCTGTAACCCAAGTTTGCTGAGCATCATTGGTTATAATACCACCACCATTCCAACCCAAGGTCAAGTAGTGCAGTGGTGGGATGCACAAGGAATTGTAGGACTGATTTTGTTTTTGCTGTGTGTTCTCTACTCAAGGTAAGATTGCTTTGAAAAAATATATATATCCCATTGACTTGTATTACTTCTGATTGTGAGCTGATAAATTATATTCATTTGAGTAACTGTACTGCATCCTTCCCTGTCAAATACAGCATCCGAACATCCAATAACAGCCAAGTTAACAAGCTGATGCTGACCAGTGATGAATCAACTCTGATAGAGGATGGAATGCCCAGGAACGACGGCTCCCTTGATGATGGAGATGATGTTCACCGTGCCATAGACAACGAAAGGGATGGAGTTACTTACAGCTATTCCTTCTTCCATTTTATGCTTTTCCTGGCATCGCTGTATATCATGATGACACTTACCAACTGGTACAGGTATCTACATTTCATAGTACAGTACGCCAACAGTCTGCATGCAAGATGTACATTTAGCTGGTCAGACAGGGACAGCTGATGTACTAGAAGGAATGTGGCTCTGAATGGGGCTTCCCTTGAGAAGTGTAGTGTTTGACCCGTGTGAATGGATTGTAGTTGTATAACATTTACAAATGTAATGTTAACAGCTTAAGCAGATACTAGTCAGAATTTAAAACAAATTAAAGATCTCTAATAATTTGTTGATGAACTGCTTGTATGAAAATAACAAAACTAGAAAGGTGTTTTCTTCTAAAATAACTTCCAATGGATTGTCTTGTTCTTGGTTTGATTCATGGCTCTGCTTAAGTGAATGTGATATCAAGATTAATTCTCCTAGGGTGTGTCTTTTCACAAGGTAAGATGAATTACCAGTAGCATAAATGCTATCCAAGTCAAGCAGATGTTTTTAGTAGTTATTTCTGCTCTTGACAGATTCTCTTACTCAGTACTTTTTGGGCTACTGTTGTTTTCCACAATTTGCAAATGATATTTTCATACAGATTGGTGTGGGCTAATTGGAGGAAGTAAAGAGGAGGCATCCTTTGAGGTGTTAAGCTGACATTAAAATAATTGACTGTGCAAATGTTGAATAGTAGCTTACTACACGGTCGCCATACTACAACAAAAATTGCAAATCATCTTTTTAATTCTTTCAACAGTCCGGATGCCACTTATGAGACAATGACCAGCAAATGGCCGTCTGTCTGGGTGAAGATATCTTCCAGCTGGATTGGCATTGTGTTGTATGTGTGGACTCTGGTTGCTCCGCTGGTTCTTACAAATCGTGACTTTGACTAAGGGAGCTGTACTGCTCTCCAGGGAAGATGGTGTTAGGTTCACCATGTTTTTTGAAACAAACAGTATTCAGGATTATAGTGTAGTTGTAAATATGTGTGCGTGTGCTATCTGTGTAGCATATACCCTGCTTTACTCTGCATGATCACCTTGAATCATGTCTTTTTGTCACTTCACTAAATGGCTCTTTCTGGCTGAGCTCAGTGAGAATTGCTACGATGGTAGTTTTCATAGGATTATTCCTAGATCTAGTGCTTTGGGAGCATTAGAAGATCAAGGCCTTTTGGAAGTATGTCTTTCTTCCCACTCTCAATTGTACTAAATAGTTCTCTAGGGGAAATGAAGTGCAAATGTTAATTAATGTAACAAAATAGTATTATATCAGGCTTTGCAAGGGAAGGACGGGCTGCCTTTGATAATCCATGTTGCCTTGATTCCAAAGTAATCTTGAGTTAGCATTGTTAGATGCAGAATTGTGTGTTAGTACTTACAGGACATGTTGCATCATTTTGGCACTAAAAGCCTGGCCTTGTACTAAGGGCAGCACAGTACCTTTAGCACAAATGTTAAATGGGGAAACTTGCACCTGAAATTGTGGAGAGGCTGACATCTTCCTGTGTGTCTGATGTTGTCCCATTGCAGACAGAACGGGGGAAAAAAAATATTCTGGTAGCAGATGCTCAGAAGCATGTTTTTAAGACACCTGTTTACAATATGCATCTATGTTTGTTTTTTTTTTTTTTAAAGGTAGTTTAAGTGGAATAGCTGTGTTTTAATTTATTGCTGGTTTTGTGCCACTTTCATGGCTAAGTTGCAAGCACAAGTAAGGAGCCGAGTGGTGAACACTGTTAACGTGTCAGAGGAATTTTTGTGGCATAATGATTCAAATAGAAGCAGCAGCAGCACTGAATGCAGTAATTAGGGGAGGCTTGCATTAACAAAAAATCTTTAAGATACTCGAGGCTCTACATTTTGATTTGGGTACTTTGCTGTCCATTACCAGAGATAAAGTTCAGCCTAGAAAGTAGTTTTAGACAAAAGGTAAAGCATTAGGTCTGTTTGATTAAAATACTGTATAGTTTTGTGCAGTTATGAAAAATTAAATGCTTTTGTGCTTGCTGCTTTGTAATTGAAGTATGTAAGCTGCATTATTTATATTTTTCCTTTACTTGCTATGACCTGAGACTTGAGCTGTCTACTCGGGAGGTACCCTAGAGCACTTAGATGATGTCATGATTATCTGTTACTGTGATGTTTATACTGTTACTTCTTGTTGCTAATTATTTTCTAAGCTTTTATTATAACATACTGACATTTAGCACGGAAGTATGACGTGTCACTCAATCATGAAATGGTCATGAAAGGATTAGTAAAGGCTTGCAGTAATTTGAAATATGTTGTTACCTTAAATAAATTTGGATGAAACTGTGTAATTACTTTTGATGTCTCATACTGCTTCTGAACATGGGGCTAGAATATGGTTCTTACAGTGTGTTTGAATCTTACATTCTCTGGACATTTTCAAGTTACTTGGGAGTTAAAAAGTGAAAACTGACAATGCTGCAACATACACACTGTGTCAGCTCAGACTCTTTGTATCACATGTAAGCCTGGGTGGAGTTTTTCAAACTGTCTCTGCACCCTTTGCACCCATATTATTCAAAACAACAAAATACTTGTAACTGCATTCCTACTTAAACAACAGGACCAGAGCATAATTTGAGCTGCATTGTATTTTTTTTTTAATGCTTAGGTGAAATACCTTAATGCTTGTTTTAATACAGTAGTTCCTGATATTAGAATTAACTGGTATTTCACTGTAGTGCCTGTAACCTGTAACTAACTGGTCCTTCATGGAAAAAGGAAGGTGAGGAGACAGTTGTGTCAGCATAAATTCAGCTACTCTTAGAAGAGGCCAGACTATGCCTTTAAGAAAATAAAGCTGTTGAATTTAATACGCTTCTAGTATCATAAAGGCATTTCTCCCACACAGTGTCTCAATAAGCAAGCTTATTCTAGTTTATCACTTTACTGGGACATCTTACTCTGAAGCTTCTCTCAAACCTCTGTAGCTACAGCTCTGAGGGCAAAAAGGGATTCTTCAGTTGCAGTTGAACTTCTTACACTAAATCAGATGCTCAGTGAAATCATTTGATTACTGTAATGTCAACTTGTCCTATATGACACTGACAGTGGTCATATATACCTTCTCTTCAACTATATAATGAAGATGGAATAACAACTTGAATAAGGATGGAAGCCTTACAGTAAATACACATTTTGAATAGAGGTGAAGTGCTTCTGCAGAAAGGAACAAGTGGGCTCTGCAGCAGTTGTCTGTAAGCAACTAAAGGAGGAAAGTAATATGTTGTATACTACTGAAATAAATTAGTTTGCTACAGTGGCTAATAGTTAGACTGCTGTTGGGATCTTTATAAATCTCAAGATTTGCAGATGAGCCTCATTTCTAATAAATGTGCATAGAAAAAAAGTTTGGCACAGTAAAAACACAGCTGTTAAATTCACATCTGCTTGGCACAGGGAATAAGAGACAACTCTTAAGCTACCACGCTTACTTACATAACATTTATTTTATCAGAGTAGATGGTCCAAGTTAAAGTACTCATGCAGTCAGGGGGCCTGGCAGCTGTAAAGAACTTCTTCCCCAGTTTGTGCTATGTATAAGCACTTTCACTGAAGTGAAAGTAAGGCAGAACCAAGATTTAGCAAGGTACAGGCACTTTGTTCCCAGTTCAAGCAGGGAAAAAAAAAGCCTAACATCAGGTCCTGGTCCCCCCCACCCCAAAAAAGCCTTATGTTTATTAAACAAAATATTGTAGAAAATAGAAAAAAAAAGATACAGAAAGTCAGTGCTCCCTAACCATACACTACTAGTTGTCATCATCATTATATGTAAAACCAGAAGTGGAAGAAACCATAAACTGAAGCTTACTCTTAACAAGTGTTTGGTTACCTCAGGTATTTAGAGATATGCATAAGTATACCAAGCATTTGACAGCAGTACTGTAACAATCCAACTTGGTATTGCCAACTGTGTCTAACAGCTTGTCTAACTGTAGCTAAATAATTGCTTGTAGGATATTTCAGATTCCCCACTATCTGGTTACATAAAACAGTGATTTACAAAAAACTCATACCAAACAATATTCTAAATAAATAGTTCCTCTTCATGACAATGTACATAGTCCCCATTACATTAGTTATCCAAGAATGGCATGTCTGTGTCCATGGGTGCTGGAGCAAGTTCACATAAATAGAACAGCGTGGCCTCACTTGCTTCTGCCTCTGTTAGCGGTTCCAAGCGCACCAGCTTGCTCTGAGTGGGTTCAGGATCCAGGCTGCTCTCCAGGAGCTCATCCACCTCCAGGGGTTTGTCCACAGAAGGAGGAGTTTCAGTTGCAGAGCTCCCGCTCTCAACAGTGGAGCCTGGGTTCCCATCAAGGAATGCGAGCAGTGGAAATGCAGTATACTGTATGAGTTGTTTATCTAAGGGAAAAAAAAAAATTCCCAATGCATTATCAGTTGACATGCCATTCTAAATGTAGAATGAAAAAAAAGTAACAGCTTACAATTTACTAAAAGATTATTAAATTTTTTTTTAAAAAGCTGTATGGTTTTAAAAACACTGAAGAACTACTATATAAAGTTATTCTGATTCTCCACAAATCATCAGTTTCGTACAGTGCCATTAAGCAACCTTAAAAGCAGATATATTAAATGCTTGTCTACACCTGTGTCATGCTGATAAACAACAGTGAGAACAATACCTGCTCAACACTTAAACCATTAAAAACAAACAAACAAAAAAAACAAAAACCACTTATTACAACTAACCTGATTTAGGTTTGGAAACTTGTGTTTCCTGTGAAGCAGCTGGGCCAGCATTATTCTTGGTAGTTTCTATTCCCTTCGTCTCCATCTAGAAAATAAAGTTAAATCTAAAAAACATGCTCTCAGAGCCTCTTTAATGCAACTGCAATGACACTAGAACTTAGCTCATCAACTATTTTGAAAAAGTATTTGTGAAGGCAGGCTTTAAACTGAAGGCTTGGGGAACAGATCCAAAAGGGCTCACAACACTGCAACTGATTGGAGAGTAAGCCAGGCCAACCAGAACAATAACAAACATTCCTGAGCTGTCTCCCATGACAAGAGGCAGAAGAACAGCCACATCAAGGTTGTGTAGAGTTACGGGGGATTCTCTCGCATCCCTCTACAGAAACCAGCATTCTCAGCTCTCCTTTTCTTCTCTGAAGCACCCACATACCAGGCCACATAGCATGGGGAATACAGAGGAAGAACAAGATACCTGCGTGGGGTCACAGGCCTGTGATCTCAAAGTACGTGCAGGACAGCTCATGGATGCCTGTGTACTTTGCAGAAAAGACAGGCCAGCAAGGGGACGTTGTGGAGTTGCTCTCGTTACGAGAACTGTAATGCATTAAAAGCTCTGCCTAGGGATAAATGATGAATGAGCTGAGAGCTTATTATAGGTAAGAAAGGCATGCCAATATAGGTGACACCACAGTAGCTGTTTACTGCAGGCTGCCTGATCAGTTAGAGGAAGTTGATGAGGCTTTCTACAGAAGCTGAAAAGAGCCCCTCAGTCACAGGCACCTGTTCTCGTGGTGGGACTTCAATCACCCTGGTATTTGCTGGAAAAGCAGCACTGCCAAGCACACGCAGTCCAGATTCCTGCAGAGCACTGATGATTCTAACACAAGTGGTAGAAGAGGTAAGAAGTGCAGTTCTGGACCTTGTTCTTACAAAGAACTAGTTGGGAATGTGAAGACTGGCAGTAGCCTTGACTGCAATGACCGTAAGATAGTGGAATTAAGATCTCGTGTGGAAACAAGTGTCATAATTAGGATTGCAATCCTGGCCTCCAGGACACCTCTGAAAGGATCTACCTGGAGACATTCTGTAGGTTAGAGCATTTGGAGAGAACCTGATGACATTAGAGCACCACTTCTTCCAAGCTCAAGATCACTGCAACCCTGAGATTAAGAAGCTGGGTAAAAGCAGCAGGAGACTTGCATGCATGAGCAAGGAGCTCGTGGGAAAACAAAAACAGAAGATGAAAGTCTACAGAACATGGAAAAAAGGTCTGACCACTTGGAAGGTATACAGGAACACAGGGCATGCAGGGATGCAGTGTGAAAGACTAAGGCCCAGCTGGAATTAAAGGAAGATTCTAATCTAATAAGGAAGATTAAGGACAACAAGAAGAGCTTCTTTAAGTATATCCATAGCAAAAGGAAGACAAGGGAAAATGTGGGCCTGCTGCCAAATGAGGCAGATGTCCTGGTAAATGGAGGACACTGAAAACACAGTTACTGAGCACCTTCTTTACTTCAGCCTTTACTGCTATGCCTGGTCCTCAGCCATCCTAGACACTGGAAGAGAGAGCCTGGAAAAAGGAAGAATTCCCCTTTGCTGAGAAGGATCTTATTCTGGATCAGGAAGAAAAGAATGCTATCAGGAGTAGTTAACATGGGCTCAACAAGGGGAAATCATCCTTGGCCAGCGTGGTAGTCTTTTTTAATGACGTGACTGAATAGCTAACAGTGGATGTTGTGTACCTTGGCTTTAGTAAGGCTTTTGATACTGTCTCCCGTAACATCCTCAGGGATAAGCCTGGAATGCATGGCAAAGATAAACAGACAGTGAGATGGACTGGTAATTGGTTGTGATCAGCAGCAGTATAGTTGGGGAACCATTGCTACCACTGTTCCCCAGAAATCAATACTGGGTTTGGTCTTGTTTAACATCTTCATCAATGACTTAAATGAAGGGATAGAATGCACCCTCAGTAAGTTTGCTGATGATACGAATCTGGAAGGAGTGGCTGACACACCAGAAGGCTGTGCTGCCATTCAGCAAGACCAGGAAAGGCTGCAGAGTACACTTGAGTGGAGAGGAACCTTTCGAGGTTCAACTAGGGCAAGTGTAGCATCCTGCACCTACAGAGGTATAACTGCATACATCAGCACAGGTTAGCAGCTGACAAGCTGGAGAGAAGCTCTGTGGAAAATGACCTGAGGGTCCTGGCAGACAACAGGTTGCCTACAAGCCAGCAGCATGCTCACATCGACACTAAGTCTAACAGTATCCTTATGCAAATATTAAAAGTGTAGCCTCAAGGGAAGTTCTCCTCCCCCTTTACTCTGCCCTGATGAGGTCACATCTGGAGTACAGAGCTCAGTTCAAGAAAGAACTAAAGAACAAAGAACTAAAAAGTCCAGCAGCAGGATACAAAGATGATCAAAAGCCTGAAGCATCTCTCTTACGAGGAAAAGCTGAGAGACCTGGGACTGTTTAGCTTGGAGGAGAGGGGATACACATATATACAAATATCTAAAGGTTAAGTGTCAAGAGGATGGAGCCAGGCTCTTTTCAGTGGTACCCAGTGACAGAACAAAGGACAACAGGCAGAAACTGGAACAGAGCAAGGTCCATCTGAACATGAGAAAGAACTTCTTTACTTTGAGGGTGACAGAGCACTACAACAGGCTACCTAGAGAGACTGTGGAATTTTCTTCTCTGGAGATATTCAAAGCCTACCTGGATACTTTCTTGTGCAACCTACTCTAGAGAACCTGCTTTTACAGAGAGGGTCTCCAGCAGCCCCTTCCAACCCCTACTATTCTGTGGAAGAGGCACTGATATCACTAACTTGAACTAACAGCACCTGGAAGAGAAAAATGTGAAATGGAAACAGACTTCCTCAAACAAGAACTAATGCTCACAAATGAATAGGACAAACTCTAGGAGCTAGTATGTTGCTCTGCTGCATATTCTAATGTTTCCCACCAGACAGCACAGATGAAAACCTACTAAGTACAGTTTTTTGCAAATTCTAAAATTTAAGAGAATACAAAAAAGATTAGAAAAGACTAGTAATATGCACAGGCGTTGGCCTAACAGTTCCAAATGTTATTATTTGCTCCTAACTACTCCTTCCTATTTAAAGCCTAACAAGCAGGATGAATTCACCTGCAGCTCTCCTATCCTTACAAAAGTCTTGAAATCAAAAGAATGGAAAAAAGTGCAATTATACCCGTAAAGAAAAAAGTAAAGGATGAAAAAAGTTTGCATCTCTCAACTACTGAGTACATTGAGCAATGGATATAAGACTTACTTTGGTATTAGGGACATGATCTGTGGGATTCATCTGTACGGAGCTTGTAAAAAGCTGAATAAGACAAAACATATCAAGCTTTAGGTATCTCAATGTCCTATTAAAAATACAAGAACGTCACATCTGTGTGTGTGAGAAAAATCCCTGAACTATGTTTTCAGCCCCAATCACAACTAAAGTTTATTTACAGGCAGTTACCACTTTTGCAAAGAAAATGTTAAGAGTTTACATTGTTTGGAATCACAAAAACTTCAGTCACAAAGAAAATAACTATAAGCACATCTTACTTGGAGTAACATTGTTTGCTGCAGTCTTAGGAATACAGACTAATTCTTGATTTGCTGCATCGAGAAATCTGTGTACAATAGTGAGGAACAAACCCCAAACAAGTTTTCAAGAAACACCAAACTGGAAAGAGTCAACAACACAAGGGAAAGCAGAGCTGGTGTTAAGTGGGATCTCAGCAAGCTGAAAAAGTGAGCTAACAGTTACTCTGTCAAGTTCAACAGACAAACATATCAAGGACACCATAACCCCATGCACCAACCCAGGTTAGTGACCAAACGGACAGGGAATGGCTCCTCAGAGATTGGAGTCCTGCTAGACAACATCCCACAAGAGCCAGCAGCACGACCATGCTGCAGGGAATGACCAGTTTTAGGTTTCCCAGTAGGAGAATGTTCACACTACAAAGTCTGGAAGAATGGTTAGGGGGCATGAAACATACAATGGGCTGATGAAGCATGGCTTATTTTGTCTATAGAGGGCAGACAAGGGTGGTTAAGTGCACTTTTCTGCTATTACTAAAGAAGTGTTACTGAGATGACAAACTCCACAGAGCTGGATATAGGACAAGATGTGAGAGTTTCATGCTGCAGCAGGAAAAATTGTCACTGACATAAGAAAATCCTTCACAGAGAGCAAAGCAGTAGAGCAGGCACCCAAGCAAACTCCCTTTGGAGAGTTCAGACTTCATGTTGACAAGACCCAGAGCAACATGATCTTTCATGCTCGCCTTTGAACAAGAGGGCTGGACTAGATGACCTGCACAGATCCCTCCCAACCAAATTACTCTACTTGACATAAACCTGAACCGAAATTAAAAGAGCCTTTTTAGCACAAGCTTACAGAGAAGATGACAGATAACGTGCTAGGTTATTTCAAAGAAAGATTATTAATCTAATTAGTATCTTGAGTTCATGCAGCAACAAATACAAGCATTATTTCACTAAAAAAGCCATTACTCAAAAGTTTAAATCAATGTCATCACTACACCATGCACTGAGGGCAGCTGTGTATTACAGTTTTACCAATGCCCCAGATAAACATATACACAAATACTTATAACTTTCCTTTTTTAAATGGAAGGCAAAAAAAATCTCGTCATTTTAAACCGTAACAATCCACACAATATATTACCAAAACAGTACAAAAATATTGAAATAAACAGAAAATTTGGGTCATTTCCCACGGCAATCAGCTCCAGTGCAGATATGTTCTACAGCAGATTAGGGGATCATGGTGTGCAAGAGGAGTCCCGCAGCAGAGGAGAACCCAGGACAAGGTGAGAGCCACCTGGGCCTGCCAGTTCTCATTTGAGAGTGGCTGAGGAGGCATGGGCAGAGCCAGAAACAGCAGCATAACATCCCTAACGAGAGTGAGTCCCCTGGGAACATGAGCAACCAAGACCTGGCACACCAGTCAGGGTACCGCACAGCAGTTGGCAAAGGGAGGGCAACAGGCTGCTCACAGCACCGAGCACCACTCTAATGAAATAAACATGATGACCACCTGCTGCAACAGACAGGTTGAGGCAGAAACCCAGACTTGAGAGTCACAACCATCTGGGGCTAACACATGCCCCCAGACAGACCTCCCAAGGAGCAACAGAGCTGTCCAGACCTTCAGTTCCACACACTGAAATTTCCCCAAGGGCCTGAGGGGAAGAGAGGGTGCTATGGGTGCAAGCCACCAGGCTGCGTGAGGCAATCACCAGGTAGGAACTGGAAAGAAAGTGAGGCATATAATATTACTGAGAGACACAAGCAAGTCAACTGCCCTGTCTTAAGCCCCTGCAAGGAGAAGAAGCTAAGCCAGTTTCCAAACTGGAGGAAACAGACCACAGAAACATACAAAATAAGGGAAACTGGACTCTCAACTTCACTTACAGAAGGACTTTTTAACCTTGCCACCAAAGTGCCCCTAAGCAACAGATACAAGGCTCTGCAGCTGGAAAGGAGAGGGCATGAGAAGGGTTCAGACCCAGGAATGGACCAACTTAATGCAGCCATCCACCGAAGACCCAAGTCAGAACCAGTGTCACAAAAAAAAAGAAAAAAAAAAGGCACGCTTGTAATTCAGGACTCCTTACTGAGAGGCACCCATTTGTCACGTGGATCATCAAACAGGTAAACAGGTTTGATGCTGCTGGGGGCACACATTCATGACATCAAGAGGCTACCAAGTCTGATAAAGCCAGAGAACTACTATCCACTCCTGATCACTCAAGCTGGGTCATATGAGGCTGCAACAAGGATATTTTGAAACAGTAGAAGAGATTTATGCCCTCTGGGAGGACGTTGAAAAGATCAGGAATAAGGCTATTATCAGATGCAACTGAGCAGGTGCAGCAAGAACATTCTGGGCAGTAAACTGCCTAGGCTGATTAGCAGAGCTTTAAGCTAAATTTGACTGGGGGAGGAGATGTGCTTTTGAGTGACAGAGAAAAGGCAGGGAACACTGTCACTTTAGGATGCAGCACAAGAAAACCTCAATATCTATCCCAAAGGCAATCGAGAAGGCTTCTGTAAGAAGGTAACGCAGCTGATAGCCCAGTTGAAGTGTCTCTACACCAGAGCACTTAGCACGGGAAATAAGGAGAAGAAAAAATGATGCAATTAAAAAATGAGGACCTAATCGCTATCATGGAAACACGGTAGGACAAATCACACAATGCTGTGCTATGACTGAGGGCTACAAGCTTTTTGAAGAGACAGGCAGGGCAGGAGGAGTGGATGAGTCGTCTTCTCTGTTCAGAAGTTGATAGATCATGAAGAACTACCTCTGAAACGGTTACGACCAGGTCAAGAGCTTGTGGTAAAAATGAGGAACAGGAACAATAATGGACATGTGGCTGTCAAGGTCTACCACATACTGCCTGTGCAAGGGGAGCCTGTCGATGAGGCCTTGTTGCTCCACCTACAAGAAATATCACGCTCACAGGCTCTCATCCTGATAGGGGATTTTAATTACTTGGATGTCTGCTGGGAAACAATGCAGCCGGCTGCAAGCAATGCAGGAGACTCCTGGAGCACAGAGGACAAATTCCTGATTTAGACAAACTGACCAGAGTTGAGGCATCACTTGACATGGTGTTCAGTAATTCAGATGAGCCTATTACAGAGGTTAAGATTGGAGGCAGTCTGGGCTGTAGTGACTATGTCCTGGTTGAGCTCATGATCTTGAGAAACATGGGCCTAGCAAAGAGCATTGTCACAACCTTTAACTTCCAAAGAGCAAAATTTCAGCTGTTTAAGTAATTACTGGATGAGATCCACTAGGAAGCTATCCTTTAGAGACAAAGGAGCAGAGCAGAGCAGCCAGCTCTTTAAGGATGCCTTTTCGAGTGCAGAAGTGCTCTCCATCCCAAGCGTAAAAAATTAAGCAGAGGAGGCAGAAAACCAGCATGGCTGAAAACCTGTTCGTTAAACTAACAGATGAGAAATGTACAGGTGGAAGCAGGGACATGGGGTCTTGGGAAGAATATAGGCAAAGGAGAGCATAGCCCCTCTGGTAAGTGAGAAGGGAGAACTGACTATAACAGACATGGAAAAGACTCAGTAAGTCCTCTGCCTTGGACTTCACTCTGGCAGTCAGTCTTCCCACATCTCATGCCCCTGAACCTCTGGACAGGAGATGGAGGGAGCAAAACTTCTCCAACTATAAGAGCAAGTCAGAGACCACCTGATGAGAGTGAACGTGTTCAAGAGCATGGGGCTGGATGACATGCATGCCAGGGTCCTGGTCTAGAAAAAGAAAAATATCACTTACATTTTTAAGAAAGGGAGAAAAGATCCGGGCAACTACAGGCTGTTGAGTCTCATCTGTGCCTAAGAAGATTGTGGACAAGAATGTCCTGGAAGCTTTGTTAAGGTACATGAGACAAGGAGGAGATCCAGAAGAGCCAGCACGTCTTCCCAAGGGCAGATCTGAGCAATCTGGTGGCCCTCTATGATGGCATCAGACAGAGGCAGAGCAACTGATGTCATCTATTCGGAGTTCATCTTCAGCTAGTTTACTTACAGCAGAGCTGTGTGGTGCAGTTGATAAAACAGAAGGAAATGATACTACCTGAAGAGGCTTGGACAAGCCTGAGAAGTGGGCATACAACAACTTAAAAGAGATTCAGCAAGGCCAAGTGTGAGGTGTCGCACTTGGGTCAGGGCAATCCCAGATGCATACAAACTGGAAAGACTTCGGAGTTCTGTTCTGGTGGATGAAAAGCTTGACAGGAGCCAGTGCGCACTTGCAACCTGTATCCTGAGCTGAATCAAGAAGGGTTGCTCCCAGGGCAAGGGATGCAATTGTACCGCTCTGCTCTACAATACTTAAGAGAACTGCATAAAGATCTGGGGCCCCCAGCACAAGAATATGGAACTGGTGGAAAAGGTCCAGAGGACCACAGAGATGTTCTGAAGAGTGGAGCACTTCTCCTACAAAGGTGGAGAGAGTTGGACTTGTCCAGTCTGGAGAACAGAAGGCTCTGGGGAGGCCTCAGTGTAGCTTTGCAGTACTTCAGAAGAGCTCTATAATAAACAGAAGGGAGACTAATTTTTTTTACATGGCCTCATAGTCAGGACAAGGGGAAAAGGTTTAAATCTAAAAAAATGGGAAATTTTGATTAGGTATTAGGAAAGTTTTTACTCAGGGAGTAATGAGGCACTAGAGCTGAAGGCATTGAAGGCCAGGGTGGACAGGGCCCCAGACAGCCTGATCCAGTGGATGGCAACCTTGTCCATAGCTGGTGTGGTTGGACCTAGATGATCTTTAAAAAACCCTTCTAGCCCAAGCCGTTTTATGATTCTATGAAAATTACATCAAACAGCAGATCTGGATCTATGCTGAATTGTCGTCCTGATAACATGGCCTGGAAGTCCTCTAAACTGCAGTCGATACTGTCAAGATAATCCAGAAGTTCAACTCTGGAAGACAAAAACAATATTGTAATATTGCATCTATTAAAAGAAAGAAGAAAAAAAATCACAGTTAAGTTTTACACAGATATAGTACATCACCTTAAAATTTTCCACCAGAACTATGATGACTGCCTTTCATTACAAATAAACTCCTGGGAAAGACTTAAACCTTACTCTATAGAGGAGAAGCCAAGTAAGGAAGGCTGGTACTCCAAAAGAGAAATCACATTAGTATTAGACTACAACTATCATGAGCAGAAATACAACTGCATCTCACTTGTTCTAATAGAATCCAATCCACCCGCAGGAACCCTTGCAGGTAAATCCTGACATCAACGCCAGTTTAAATGGTTTATCTGTAACATTTCACTGTCAAATTACATTACCAGAATAAAGCTATTAAGTTCTCAACTAGGAGAACTAGGAGTTACTATTCGGTTCTTTTGATTTCAAACAATAATTTGTGATACTTAAAAAACAGGCTACTTACTTTCCAAGGAGATTTATATTCTGTGAAATTACTCCATTTTCATTGAGTATGGAATCCATCATGGAGACTGGGTCTTCTGCAGTTAAAGTTGACTGGTTGTTCAGCTGTACAGCACTTGACATGAGCGGACTTGTGCTGTCGCTGACAGGGCTGAGGGGATCATTAGCTGAGACAGCAACCGATTCTGTGCTTTTATCCTCTTGAATTACAGGGGCGTATTCTTCCTCATTATCATCTTCCACAATTACGATATCAGGAGAACGACTGCAGCTGTAAAACAAGACAAATAAATTATGAATTTTTGATACACTCTTAAATTTGTAAATGTGTAGGTTTAGTTACTTTCCATTTCAGCCAAGCTAAAATATGGAAATCAATTTTCCTTCCGCATTTTAACAGGAAATACAGCCAGATATTCTAAACATACCTGTTTCCCACTGGTATGGCCCAGTAACACTCAATACAGTTAATGCAGCTCAGCCAGTAAATACTGTTGTGCTATGTCACAACAACACTATTCTGAGCATATAGGAATTCTGATGCTTTTGCATTACAACAAGTACAAGCTTGCACATAAATGTGAACTATGCATGAAGTAGGACAAAGCACATAAGACCACCAAACAAGACAGACCACACAGCGTGCATCTTTCTGGTGGAACACAATTTAACTCTGGATTAGCAGTAACGTGAATGACCTCAGTCAATACTGTTACATTTAATTAAGCTTCTTATGTATACGAGGAAGGTAATGTAAAAAACAAAATGGTTTTCATTTGTTATCTCTGTATTTTCACAGTTTTCTTAACCCTTAAGTAGTTGTGTTACCTACTGAAACCTAATCTCAATTAAACTTTTCTATCAGAGAATGCATTCCCAGACATCAGTTCAAACACAAGTGTTAATTCAAGTATAAAACAGTAATCTCTAAATTTTATTTGTTGTGGCATAACACAGGTCCTATCAGTACCACACAAGCAAGGAACAGAGCTGCATCTTAACCTCTGCTCATAGGCAAAGATGAACTACTTCTATAGTACAAAAAGATAACATGCAGTCACAAAACACTTTGGACTACAAAACAAACGAACAAAAAAACCCCCAAAGTTCTTAAAATTGAATAGCTGTCTGTCTTCACAACCAAAAAGTAGACATAACTGATGTCTTTGGACAAACAGCACATTTAACAAGAGTGTAATAATACAGATTACTTTTCACTAGTTTCTATCAACATATTAAAACCTCCTACAGCCAATCAACTACATGGAACAAATCCAGAGGAAATTTAGTGTGAATTCAAAGATAATGCTCCTACATGTGCAAGAGTACTCCAGACACTTGAATTACTGCATACTATTCAGTATTGGAAGCCACTTTCTATGTAGACTTCTAAAGACTTCTTACTTAGAAGAATCTGAAGTGGTATCTTCATTTGTCTCTGGTGTAATGGGAGCATTTTCTTCATCAACCATGGTGTTTTCCTCATCAGCCACATCCTCAGTAACATCATAAATAATGATGTCATCTGAAATTTGTTCTCTTTGTTTTAAGCCCTCAGTTCTGTTGAGAGGTACCTGAAAATAATTTGTAAGAATGAGAGGACAGAAGGACAATTAGCTTCAGCATTCTGACAGTTATCACTGTATCTTTCAATACCACAATTCTAAAGAGGTAGAAGGTTTTCCTGTGCCTTGGAGACTACAATGAGTTTGTACAGATCTATGTTTGATAGAAATATACATACATATATAAATAATATATATAAATGAGCAAGCTGGAAAAGAGCAGTTACAGAAAAAAATGTTTGGCAAGTAATAAAGCTATTCAAATAAAGTACTACCAATGTCAGACAACAAAAGTAACAAAAAGCTACAAAGGCAAGACTACAAAGGAACTAAAATACTAAAAAAAGTTATTATTAGTCATGATCTGCCATTTATACTTCATTATAAAGCTATTAATTCTAGTCCCAAGCTAATAATTCTAATAATTTCCCCAGCCAGAATTATTTGGACAGCAGAATATATCTTTCAATGGTGGGACATTCAAGCAGCACAAGAACTTAACATGATTCTGCAGGGTAGGTGCTGCTTTGCAGGTGGATTCCTGTTCATGTACTGGGACTCCTAACTCAAGAAGACAACAACATAACATCAACGTCCTTAACAGTGCTACTATTAAAAGCATCTGCTGTCAGCATTTTCACATGACGCTATACGTAGTTAAGTGGCTTCTATGTGATTATACTGAAAAGTGAATGGCAATTATCAACACATTTGCTTCTGAAGAAAATGTGGCATACCACTTCTAAAAGTTGAAAGCTCTTCAACATTTTTATCCTCAGTAAGCAAGACATGATCTGTCTGTCCCTCTTCACTACTTCCTTCACCATAACAAATGGTATGCATAAAGTAAAACTTACATGATGATTATTGTCTGCTGGTTCTTTCACAATTTGCTGAAATACATTTGACTTTGTAGGTCCATTAGTGTTCAGAAGTAGAGGCCTAAATCACAGAAAAGGAAATCCGTCATCTAGGAGCTAATTCTTAAGTTTCATTTAAGAAAAAAAAGTCAATATATTGAGTGGATAGCAACTTTTCAAGACCACACTTACCTCTTGCGTTTTAGGCTCACTAGTTGGTTGTTCTGCACCAGGGTAACAATAAATTGTACAATCTATCAAGAAAAGAATGTTATACTTAGTTACATTGCTCCATAATTACTTCTCTCAAGGCACCGAGATATCTTTTTCACATAGCAAGCACTAAGAATAAATTTGTACACTTCATTTACTATAGAGGAAAAAAAAGTCATTAAATTCAACTATTAGAAAAATTCTTATAAGCAACATAAGAATGTTGACCATATGTGTAACCTGTATTATCAATACTGCGGCCTAGTGAAAAGTTCTCTTGATAAATCCAGAAAAAAGGACCCATACAGTTGACAGTATTCATCAGTTGCCTTTCCCCTTGAAATCTCAGTCTCTCTTCCTGCATGTTTTAATATTAAGAATTAAATGCATACATCTGGCCTGAACAACATGGAAAAAAGACACAGTAATTATTTGCAGCTTATAGTATTACTATTATGTAAATAGACGTGAAGAAAAAAAAGAACCTGCAAACTCTTTGAATTTACAACAGTTTTGGTAGATCACAGATCTAAGCATCAAGCTAAGCTAATGTGTCATTAATGGTTTCCGTTCAGTATCTATTGGTCTGATATCATCAGAAATGCAAAGTTCGTTTCAAGTAAAAAGAATTTCCAAAATAGACAGAAAAGCAGAAATGACAAAAACATATACACATCTACATACACACATACATATTTACAAAATGAGGGATGCTCAAAGAAATTGCTCACTACCCACCAACCAACATCCAGCCAGTTTCTCCTGATCTTTAGCTGCTCCTCCCAGCCAACTGCCCCAGTTTCATAGCTGTGCACGACACCACATGACACAGGATATCCCTTTGGCCAGTCTGAGTCAGCTCTCCTGGTTCTGTCCCCCCCACAGCTCCTTGTGCATCCCCAGCCCCCCTTGCTGGCAGGGCACTAGGAGAAGCTGAAACGTCCTTGACGCTATACAGCACTGCTCAGCACCAACTAAAGCACTGGTCTGTTATCAGCATTGCTTTTCTCCTCAAGCCAAAATATAGCATCACAGACACTACAAAGAAAATCAGCTCTATTCCAGCTGACACCAGGAGAGTAAGACAGAGCATTCCTACTTCAGAAACACCCACTGATTGTGTTTAAATGAAGCCTTACCTTCCGAATAACTTGCTGTTGTTTCAGGTGTTTTGCTCTCAGTTCTGCCACTTCCCTCCAAAGAGATTCATTCTCCCTGTTTGAAAAGGATAATTTAAAAAAATCAAACTGAATTTTGAAGTATTCATATTATTAATTTTTGTTAAAGAGTAGTTCATTTCAATAAAGGTTTTTGAAATGCTTTACTGATTGTACAAAAAGAAGAAAATCATTTAGCAATCCTTGGAAATAATTACAAAATGGAGAACCAAACACAACAAGCACCCTGAGGAGAACTTCCAAACTCCATAAAACGTATTTTCCCCAAGTTAGGCATTACACACTACATATTAATACTAATTCAGCATTTTGGAATTAGGTGCTTTGTGCCCTTTCAAACAACAAAGTTACCTTCTTTTCATTCTAGGAGAGCTGCTCAGAAAGTAATTCCTCCTATTTTATTACACTGATCCACAACATCAGAGGATGTTGGTGGTATGGCAGTAGATGCTGAACCGCCCCACCAATATTCGGTTTCATTTTGTTGCTGTTCAACAGGTGGCACCAGAAGGGCAAGTCTGACAAAATGGCATCTGATATGAAAGTGCATATGAAGCAATGGTGTGTCACTGAATTCTTCCATGTGGAAAAAACTGCACCCACTGACATTCACTGACACTTGCTGAATGTTTATATGGAGACCAAACAGTGGATGTGAGCACAGTGAGGTGGCGGGTGGTGCACTTCAGTGGTGGTGACAGTAACGAAGACATGCCGTGTTCTGGATAGCCATGCACAGCTCTGGGTAATGAACAGCATCTCCATCCATCAGCTCACCCATGCCAATCAGCAGACTACAACCAAGGAGCTGAGTATGGAACTGAGTATGAGCTTCAGTGCATCAAAAACAATGGTGGCAACACCGGAATATCTCAAAGCTTGTGCCAGGTGGGTCCCATGAATGCTTACAAAGGAATAGAAAATACTATATGAAAGTTTGTCAGGACCTACTGTACCTATGAGTCTGAAAGTGACAGTTTCTGGATCACATCATTACTAGTGATGAGTAGTGTCACCATTATGAGCTGAAGTCAAAATGGCTGTCCAAGAAGTGGCAACATGTGAATCTACCGAAGAAAAATCTCAAGACACAGCTCTCAGCCAGTAAAATGATGTGCACTCTCTTTTGGGATAGAAAAAGGGTGATCCTTTTGGATTTCCAGGAACCTGAGCCATCAATGCTGACTGATACATCAAGACATTGGTAAAGCTTGAAGGGTCAAACTTTCAGAGTCATGCCAGGGAAGGCAACCTCCTGTAACAAGGTAATTCCAGGCTCCACAGCAGCCTGAAGACTGCGAAATACAATGCCAACTTTGGCTGCATTGTCCTACTGTACAGTCTGGATCTGGTGCCTTGTGACTCCCGTCTGTTCAAGCTGATGAAAGATGGACTGTGTGGGCAACATCTTACCAGCAATTACAGCAAAACAGCAGCAGTGAAACAGTGGGTCACTTCTGGTATAGACTGTTATGAGCACAGCATGCAGGCACTTATTTTTCACTGGTGAAAACATATAGCTAATGGTGGCGACTAAGTTGAAAATAGTGTTCTGTAGCAAATACTGCAGTTCATCATTTATATTACAGCTATTTGCCCTCCCTCACACATTTCTTGCTGGAGGGAAGCCATCTATCAGAAACTGTACATCCATCTTGAACAGATCTTTGTAGAACAAGCTGAAGTCTTACACACAGCTATAGGTTGCCTTTAATTCCAGTAAAGGGGTACACTAGCTGAAGAGCATAGCAGAGAGAGCAGTTTTCCTGAAACACTGTCTCTTACAAACCTTGCCTGTTTACAAACCTTGGCAGTACTCACAAGAGTCCAGAACTAAGACAGCATAAAAACTGATATAAGGTGACCCTTGCTACCATGAACCTTGTGGTTGCTGACAGCATAAAGCACATTCATCAGTAGCTAATGAATATCAAAAGCTTCAGCAGATAAGAAAAAACAACATACCAGCCTTCCCTCTTTCATAGTTTAATTTTCAAGATGTATGCCAAAGAATGAAAATCTCTCCACCAGTGTTTCACGTTTTTAGGGAATTTTAAGCTCAGTTTATGAAACAGTTGTTGATATGCAGTAAGATGCAGCTTAGTAGCAGTTTTGAGGATAAAAATGTCCAACAGTTTAAAGACAGTTCCATCACAAATTCAACAACAGCAGTCAGGGATTCTGAGCTTTCTCAATCTTCCCACTTCCTAAGATTGGCTCTTCTGATTTAGATACAGTTTTACTTAAATCACTGAATTCTCACTGAACAACTTAGATGTCAAAGACATCTTCGCAAACTGTCCAGATGTTAGAAAAAAATGTCATTTCAGCCAGTCAGCCCTGCTCTGAGCTTGGTTTGAACCTGATGGTCTCCTGAGGCTTCTTCCAACACAAATTATATGACCCAATAGTGTGAACAGGAACCTTTTTACTCTGACTGGCCAGTTTCTAATAAAGACCCTTCCTAATCAAAATAAGTCTGCCCTTCAAACTTCAGTAATTAGAATTGAAGATGCTAAGTGAATGAAACCATTTATTTTTCAAAAGTTGAACTTACTAGTTACATCTGCCACAGAGGCAAGCAATTATTTTCTCAATTTGAAGTCCTGGAGATAGGTACCACTGAGGTACTGTGACTTTCAGTGCAAGAGCTTGTCTCTATAAATCCTGTCTTCATCTACATACTCTATCTACACACTCAAGTATTTCTGACTCACACTGCTCATATTATTAACAACAAAACATAATTACTAAATAGGAAATAATAATATTCTAAAAATACTCAATTTATATTTGGATTTTAGATTCTACATATCTGTGGTTGTAACTAATGAGTTCCCAAGTTACAATTCCAAACAAGTTTTCATAAGGATTAACTGTCCTGTAATTTCAGCACTGAGGGAATGAAGACAGCAAGAGGAAAATAAAGTAATGAGTAAGAACAGTAATTGTAGTATGAAAGTCTAAGTAATTTGCAAGAACCAAACTACCTTAGACTAAACACAGCAACTAAGCTTATTTGGTGTATGCTAAGAACTTAGTTGAATATTCCACCTCAGCAGCATTAAGGAATTATCAGAGGCAGTTCTTCAGACACCAATTTTGCCTATTACTTTTAGTCATACTTAAATATTCAATTGCAATGCAAATCTTTCACTGAAATTCATCTTTCTACAACAACAGTTCAAGTCAAACACTATCAAAATTAGGTCTTACATTTATGTCATATTTGTTTTCTAATATCTATTACCAGAATTACTCCATTTTAGGGATCAGCTGTTGACAGAGCATTTACCTTTTCAGGGCAGACAATCGAGATTCAATAGTCTCTTGTTTAATCTCCACTTTCTGAGCACTACTTATTATTTTGGAGAGATCCTCCTGGCTTATCTTGTTTTCTTCAGGTCTCGAAGAAGAAACCTTTAAGAGATGAGAAGTCAGAAACAACGCTTCCCTTTACTCACTGATAATTACTATTTTCTTTTGAAGATCAAGTATAACCTCTCTAGTGCTGATAACCGAATTAAAAATCAGTAATAAACCACGGCATCAAATACGTAAATACAGAAACGAAGAGACTTCTTACAACAGATGCCATATCACCCATACTTGTTATAAGTGTTTGTTTATGTTCAGATTCTCCAGGCACAGTAGACAGTGCTCTACATCTGAGCTACTTCAAATTAACCCAAGGCTAACAAGCATCTCTCTCTCACCATAGTAATTGTATTTCTGCTTGATAGCTACTCTTAATTCACCTAGTTCTCAGTAACAGCAGATCAAGTTTTAGAAATGTAACAGCAGCATAACAAATATGTTTATGTATTTGCTTCCAGCTTTCCTGAGTAGGAAGCTTACTTCTTGCAGTAGCTATGTTCTGAAACAAGGTACATAAAAAAAAATTGTTACATTAGGAATGGTAAAGTTAAAGCATGTTCCGCCTCTTAACATGCATCTGTTGAACCTTCTATTTGCATAACTCATTTTTGCTGCCTGTTAAACTCACTATGAGAGAGAAATAATTATCTAAAGCAGCCTAGTCAAAGCCCCTAAAATAACTTTAAATAAATCAGAACTTGCATGAGAGCACCAAAATCAACTTGGACTTACAATCCCACGATTAAAACTTGCCATGAACTCTGCTATTCATTTAAAATTACTAAAATTACTTGGTTTATATACTGAGTTTTCACTAACCTTCCTTTTAATGTGTTCCAACAAGTCCTCTCGGCCCTGCTTGAAATATGGGTGTTGAAACTCAACTAGACCATCTCGCTCCAGTTTGACAATCCCAGAATCAACATGGACAACTTTACGGAAGCCATCTTTAAAAAAAAAGAAAAGAAAAAACTCCCATCTGAAAACTCACACTAAGGAATTCAAACTACATTGTTCCAACTGTCCTTTTATCAGTCTTGAGGATACACAGTACTCTAAATGCGACAACACAGAGGAACTCTTCAAAAGAAAATAACACAACTAAAGGCATCCAGAATCTTTAACTGTGACAGACACAAACAAAATAGGAGAACTTACACATGTTTAGCTGTCTGACAAAGCTTGCCATGTTGTTGTGCTTGAAGTACTTAGGCAGAATCTCTTTTGCAAATCTCTGTTCATCCAACACCAAGAAACTCTGGCCATTCTAAAATGAGAGACATAAAGCTACTTAAGACTATTGTAGAACACACTCCGGGCTTGCAGAATTAATCACTGCATAGGAATGTTTCCTTTGTGCATGCAGTACGTAACTGATCTGCTTGCCTGCAGTTTTCCACAACAAAAGCGTATAACTGCAGTTGCTTTGCAACAGAGCACTAGCAATTAGTTGCCATCCATTCTAAAGGAGAACATTCCCATTGCTTCTCTCCACACTTCCTCAAGAAATTAATTAACAACAAGTTTAACAACAAGCACCAGTTTCATTATAGCACAACGCCATAAATTTTGTATGTATGAACTTTAAAATCTTGAAAGGGAATAGAGATACAGCAGAGACTGTGAAAGGTCAAAAACAAAATAGGACAAAAAAAACCCAACAAATCACAGCTGAAATCCCTTTTGCTACCCAGCATAAAAGTACGACTGGTTTGTTAAGACTCTTAGGCAAGATAGAGCTGTCAAAAAGCTGAGCCTGTCCACAAGATTTCAAAATGACCAAAAAGCACTCAAGACAATAATTCCCTCCTTCTGCGTGCCAACTCTGAGAGGATCAATCTTTTACCCAATAAACTGATCCTCAAATTACATCCACAGACCGAGACAAATAGAAGCCTCCGTTCTTTGTTCTTCCATAATCTTGCTCCATTAACTAAAGGACAAGTAATTGGCAGAATCAGAATTAGAGACTTCAAACTGGCAGAGGTTTTATCTGTAATCTATTCACAATATTCTTACCTCACCTATAATCTTTGTCAAACGCCAGTACTTACGCTCCATCTTCTCAGGAGCCCTTCAGTTCAAGAAGCTCCACTTGTTTCCTATCCCCAGCAGCTGCATGCTCCCCAATAAAGAAGTGTAAAGAACCAACTATGAGACCACGTGAAGATTGCTGATATGGGAACTTATTTCTAACAAATGAAAAACCTCTTAACTTCCCAGTAATGCACGCCTATCTCCCACTGAGAAATAGGCAGTGTAAAGAAAATAGGAAGTAAAAGAAAGGGTAGGAACAGATCATTTTAAGATAACCTAACTCACCAGCTGAAGGTTTTAAGCGGTGCTACAGCGACCTGCAATGCCAGCAGACAGCTTTTGTGCAGCACCTAACTTCATTATCAGCTTGAAAAGCTTCAAACCTTTTGCAGAAAATTAGAAAGATACTTCCATTGTTCCTCGTTGCCCCAACAGTCACTTACATCAATGCTGTAAACAGACGCTAAGGCCTAGCTTTAACTCAGTGAAGCATTACCGTGTACCTGAACACCGTTCTCAAGTCCTGTTGTTACTGACAGCAGCAGACAACAATCTATGTACTTCATTTGTTACTCCTGCTGCCCCACGCCTGCACTAAGACATATACGCAGGAAGACAAGATTCGGCTGGTTTTGCTTCAGTGTTCATCCTCACAGTGTAAAAATATGGTTTTGTACAGAAAACAACAAAATGTCACAATAACAGGACTCTTTCTTCACTGAGGTAGCATATTTTTCAAATATGCCAACATCTGCATATGAATAGCTCCCAATACTTTATCCATACAGAAACTGCTAAAGGCTGATTGTGCGAACTACAATCAGTATATCTTCCTTCCATAAACTGCCTTGCAGAATCTCAAACTCAGTCTTCATTTTTAATTGAGGAAATAACATAAAGGTACCAAACAGTGGTCCCTAGCATATTTACTTGAGGTAAACACGATGAATTTGGGAAGCATCCATGGAGCATGAGGCGGCAAAAAGGCCTTTTTAATGCTAGAAAACACATTGGCTTCAGCACCTTTCTTTCAGAGGAGGAAAAAAACAAAAACAAAAACAGAAGGAAAGCTGCTGTAGTGTAGACAGCATACAACCATACAATGTTAGGTTAGAGGGAACCTTAAAAACCATCTAGTTCTAACCCCCTGCTGCAGGCAGTGTTGGCACTCACTAGATTAGGCAGACCCTGGACAGGAGATACCCAGCTTTACATCTTCAGGGATTGGGCATCCACAACTTCTTTGGGAAACCTGTTCCCTCCTCAACAAAGCTTAAGCTACTGGTAAGCCCAACTGTCAGTAAAACATTTTGCAGGGTACTGAGCCACCGCATGAGCTAAACTCAACTGAAAACTGTTATCTCAACACTTGAAGACATCGTCACGGTGCAAGAATGGGATTTTTTTTTATTTTTTATTTTTAAGAATAAGTTCCCGGTAAAGCACACATGCATTAGAATAGTAACTACAGGTTTAACTACAAGTCCCACGACATCAGGCAACTGAAAGCAGCAGCCCAATCCCCATCCCGCGCCCAAACCTGCCAGGCACTCAGACACTTCCCTCAGAGGTGATGCCCGCCCGGCTCCGTCGACTGAAGGTGCACAACACATCCGGGCCACCAGAACAAAGGCCGCTACGGTCCGGGCGCGGGGCAGCCCCGCAGTTACACCGCGAGCAGGTGGCCGCGGCCGGCCCAGCCCGAGCGCGGCAACTACTACCCCACGTGGCCGCATGGGATGGGGGAGCGGGGCGGCCGCGGGGAAGGATGTAAATACGCCCTTCTCCCGTCTTCCCGCTGTTCTTTAGCTACACAATTCGCAGCCGTTACACAACTCCAGGCGCTACAGACGAGCCGGCGGAGCCGCGGCGGAAGGTGCCTCTCGTTGTCAGCACACGCCGCGTGCCGGCGCCGGCCGCGCCGCCCGAGCCCCAGCCCCAACCCGTGCCCCGCGGCGGCTCCCCGCCCCAGCCGCGCCCCGGCAGGCTCCGCAGCCGGCGGCAGGGCCCGGGCCGCCACCCGCGCTCGTCACTTCCAGCCGCACGCGGTCCCCGGATAACCGCGCCGGGGTCGCTCCTCCCGCTAGGGGCCCGCCCGGCCGTGCCTGGATTTCCCGCCCCGCGCCGCCCCACCGAAGCCCCCTAAGGCCCCGCTACCCTCCCGGCCCCCGCTGCCCCAGGACCCGCACCGCCGCTGCCAGAGGGGAGCTGCCTCCCGCAGCCGGGGGGCACACGGCAGGGGCGGGGCGACCAACGGCCGAGGCTCGCGTCGCCGCACCTGGCTCCAGGTGATAAGCTGGTTGCTGGGCGCCTCGCCCACCAGCGCCCACAGCTTGCTGAGGAAGGCCGGCACCCCGGCGCCGGCGGGGGGCGGCTGATGGGCCGGCGGCTGCTGCTGCTGTTGCGGCTCCTGCTTCATTGTCGCTCGAGACCTCCGCCGTCTGACCGGGGGAGGGGCGCGAGAGGAGGGCAACCAGCGCCACTCGGCCCCGCCCCTCATCCCGCGCGCTTGCGCACTGAGCTGCCCCGCATGCGCGGCAGTGGGCGGCCGGCGCGCCTGCGCAGCATTCAGGTGCCTCCCCGCCCCTTCGGCCCCCGTGTTTTACATAACGGGCCCACGTGCGCCGCCCTCACGTGCCACAACAGCGCGCGCACGGCCGCACACTCGTGAGGGGCGGGGCCTGAGGCGGACTCCACCCCTCTATGCAAATGAAAGAAGGGCGAGGCCCAATGGTCATCGCCTGCTGCTCCGGGGCGGGACTGGAGCAGCCGCAGGGGCGGGGCCCGGGAAAGAGAGGAAGCAGCAAGGGAGAGCGGTGTCGCCAAACCTTGCTTCTGAGGTGGGCTGAAAGCCAGTGGAATAAAGTTGGGTATCCACTTATATAGTTTGCTATTTATTCTGACATCACATATACTTAAAATCTCAGAAGCATCAGCTTTTTCCTCTCGCGGTAGAGAAACGGGCAAGCCCTGCAGCCAGCCCTGCCCTCTCTTAAATGAATTTTGGCAACAGATATCTCAGCTTTGAGATGGAATCTTGCTCTACAGTGTAGTTTCATATATACTTAAAAACAGATGTCACAAAGAATAACCCTCATATAGCAACACTTTACTGTTACGACCTTCATCTGCCTTCTCTCAATCCTGATCTTTCTGCGCTACAGTGATACCCACAGAACAGTCCAACAGGGCTATAGCAGCAGCCTGTATAAATTCCTCTTACACCAGACCCTGAGTAAACTCTAAGTCAACTTCCCAAGCACTAGCCTACAGATTTTCCTAAAGACAAGTAGCACAATACAAAACAACCAAGAATGAAATGGGAGCTCAGGTAAGGTGACAGGTTTCAAGGCAATACTCTTCTTTTTGTGGCTGCAGCACGTGACATTCAAAGGCTGTTGCATTGCTGCTATGATAAAAACCACATCTTTGTTAGCTGCCTTAACTCTCAGACACTCTATGATGTTTCAAATTCAGCTATTTTAATTATTCGCCTATACTGATCACAGTGAAGGCAAAAGACAAAGCAGTCACAAAATTTCAGAGAGCTTTTAAGAGGTTGCTCTTCCAAAGTGAATATCTTTTCGGCTTTGTGCTGTCATCGTGCACAGTTGATTCAAGTACTGTTTATTTTTTGGGGTATCCACATGATTTGTTGATTTGTTTTTCTTCTCCATGCGCCCTGCAGGAAAAGCAGACTCAGCACACAGAATATCTGTGTTAAAATAAAGACTCACAGTAAGTTGTACAATTAAATAACTGTTCTAAGAAAGAAGTTAATTTCCATTTATGACCAGCAGCTTTTGTTATTTTAAAAAGAGAAAAAAATCAGACCTAGAGTCGTATTTATTACTAACCCTTTAACATGTTTTCCTATAAAAATAGCACAGAAGTGGTATTCATTTCTTCTTTAATTATGCATAAGGAATACTTGTTTCAGACTTTTTCCAGTTGGACAAGAGCTTCTAGATTCCATGAAAATGCTCACTACACCTTAAAAGATTATTTTGATTTTATTGTGAGTGAAAGTTGCATGCTGAAAAATGGCGTGTTTTAAACAAGCTAAGATAGCATTAACTGCAATCAGCTTTTTAAAAAATCCATTCATAAATGCTTGAAGCCATTAAAGTTTAAAAATGAGATAAAAAATCTGAGCCAAAGCCAATTGCTGATGTAAGAAGAAATTCCAAATTCAGGACAGATTATTTGATCTTCAGGGCTTCCTGCAAAGCTAGTCATCTTTACTGAAGCTTTTGGAAGCTTTCAAGGAAGAACAGGGCTTCCATTGCTTTATTCTTCTCAAAAAAAAACAGAGGAGAAACTCTTCACAAAGTCTCAGCATACAATTTTAACCATGTATTTGAAAAGTAAAAATAAGTGTTCTTAGTAAGTTTTAAAAATAAGTAATAAATTATATTAAATTTGTCTGCCTCTTGATGGCTAGAGAGATTATTTGAACAGACAACACTCACCTGCTCTGTGGTTATGGGGTGTTGTGTATCATTCCCACTCCACTACTGGCTATTTAAGAACACTCTTCAGCTGGTTTAGACTAAGAACGATTCAAGATTGAAAATAAGACAAACAAAAGTGGCTGAGCTCAGCCTGATTTACCTGAATCTGAACAAGTAGAACTTTATTTTTCTGTATCTGTGTCTAAACCACTCTTGTTCATTGCTTTTTCAAGTTCCTAAAAGTTTAAGGCAAAAGAAAATTTAATTAATATCCAGAAATGTTAAGGAAATGGCTAGTTTTTCTATATTGTGAGATGCTGGAGAAAGTAGTGACTGTAGTTTTTGTAGGATTCTTTTTTCCTTTCCCGTTTGGTTAAAATTACCATTGTAGCAACCACATGCTGCTGTTTAAATGAAACTGAAATACTATCTATGCTCCAACTGCAACTGTCGTCTTTGTTTAGTTAGCAAAATGTAATAAAGCTGTTTTTGAAATTGCTATCAATGTTCTTCCTTGCTAGACTACACGTTCTTCCCCACAAAAACAATTGCATTGAGAGTACATGTTAATAAATAAGACAAAGCTATCAAATGAAAGTGTACCTAGAGGCTAGGGAGAGGTAAAGTATAGAAGGAGCTGCAATCAGATCCCACTGTCACCTTCTTCGGGGACATTACAAATAACAGATTAAGATTACTTTCATTTTCCCTTAATCATCCTTAATCATCATTGATGATTAAGGTTCTGGACTCAGCACTGAGGAACAAGTCTCAGGATGTAGCTAGCTGTATTTTAGGGTTTTTTTTTTTTTTTTTTTTTTTTTTTTTTTTTAAGTCAGTCTAACACACACACACAACCATGAGGATGTTCCACCTGCACATTTACTAGTTATATTATTGAAGAAGTCCCATAAATATAACAATCTTTTGCTTTTCCCACCTAGGAAAAAAATGATTTTCCCCCATGTTACTGTTCAGAAAGAGCTGTCCTCTAGTTCTCTTCAGCTAGGTACTGTTCCTTCAAAATTACACAGGGAACACTGAGCAATCTCCAAATGGCTGTAGGATTGATAAGCATTTTTCTGTCCCTACTCCCTCAACAATGCCATGTTACTTAGTCCCTTCCATTCCCTCTCTACTGTACCACCTTCTGCAGCACACTGCAATATTAAATCAAGGCAAGTTGGATTAAAGGGATTATACAGAATACATATTTAACTTGGATCAATTCTATAATCCAGTTCAAATAATTCTAATGCAAAAGCAGTTCCATCATTTTAATGGAAAGAAAGGTCTAGGAGTGAAAGTGAGCAGCTAAGGAAGCATGAGTTAGAACAAATACCTTCAGGTTTCTCTCTTCCCAGCAATGGATTCATGAGGAAAGGCAGAATGCAATAAATGCAAGATGATTCTTGCTTCTCATCTGATTTAAACTGTAGAATGAAAACTATGCTAAGCCCTTTCCCAAGTATTTGGTATTTTGCTAATCAACAGACAAGTGCCAGAAATGAAACGTGTCAACAGAAAATAAAATATTAGAGAACACAGCCTTGGGTTATAAGAAATCTCTTAATGTAAATAAATAGCATGCAAAAGAACACAGTTCAGCTTCTATTATATGTTCATTTTCACATCTTTTCCTGTGATGTCTTGAGTACTCAATCTCTATTGAATGGATGCATTCCAGAAACAAAACATAAACATAGAGGTTAGTTGTGTGATAAGAATGCATAGTTTAAGTCATGAGAGCTATACTTCCAGGCCAATTCAGATTTTTTCCAACACTAAAGCCAAGCACTGCATCACAATTAAATCCCAACACACTAACCCTGCCACACTAGTATTAGAAAACACCTGAAGTTTTGGAAAACATCTAGACTTCTGTCTATGGAGTGCAACCTCACCCAGTCTTAAAATGCCACTCGTGTGTTGCTTTACTCTCAGTTTCTTACATACATCTCTCCTACTATTTCTAGTGAAGCTGCATCCGTTTTGAAGCCAGAAGGGTAAGGCAATCTCATAGATAATCTTTCTTAAGAGCACTGACACTCCAGTATTTTCTACATTTTCAGCTTGCTAATTTCCCCAACTTCTCAAAAGCTTTGTTTGTCAAGATACATTTTCTTAGTTAGTGAACTTCTGTTGCAGTTTTATTCGCACCCTGAATATAAAGGGTGATTTTAGGCTTAATTATCTTAATTACACAGACCAGCTTCTTTCCATAACTATTCCTCAACACTGGCTTCAGAAATCTTCAAAAACAGTTGAAAATCTTCTCGTTATTATCATAGAATCTGTGTGTTTAAAGAGGACAATTAAATATGTTGTAAATCTAGCACTAAATCCTGCTTCTTGTGTACATTTCTATTGAAGCCTGTAGGAATTAGCATGGAAGTAAAATGAAATCATCGTGTAATAGTTCTAATGTTATGCAGTGTTTAAAACCATAACAAAACACAGATGTACTTAAATGCAGCCAGGGTAACCAGCAATCAAATACAGAACATTGTTTTTCTGTACCTACAGAAATAAAATTACAAGAGGTCAAATCTATTGATACTTTTGTTTTAAATGTACAAAAGCTTGCCATTACATCCATGGATTTGCACTGGAAAAAGGAAAAACTTCATTTATAGCCTGACACTCAATAGCAGCTCACAAGATGTAGTAACTTGAAAAAGAGAAAAAACACTCCTGTATTGTATACACGGTCGCTAGGTGACCACTAAGTACAGAGCTCTTCTTTTAAGCATTCAAAGGCAGGAAAGGCCAGAAGATCAGACATACAGGCTGTAACTACAGTTTGTACAGGGTGACTAGTTCTGTAACACTCTTTTAACCTCACTGTGACAAGAGGTGGTGTACTTATCTGCAGGGTAGCTGTACCAAAACCAGCCTCCGTAGTAAGAACATCAGGACAGAACATAGAAGCACAGTCTGGGTTTATGATGTTTATACATCACTGCTAATTATAAGGATCCCTGTTTCTTAGTGAAGTGGACCATAACATGACCCAGGAGATCCTCCTCATTCTGCACATCTGAGA